GCAGTAGCAGTAGCAGTAGCAGGAGCAGTAGCAGGAGCAGGAGCAGCAGCAGCAGCAGCAGCAGCAGCAGGAGCAGGAGCAGGAGCAGGAGCAGGAGCAGGAGCAGGAGCAGGAGCAGGAGCAGGAGTAGTAGTAGTCGTCGTCGTCGTGGTGGTGGTGGTGGTGGTGGTAGTAGTACTGGTAGTGGTAGTGGTCGTGGTCGTGGTAGTGGTTGTGGTGGTAGCAATAGTAGTAGTAGTAGTAGTAGTAGTAGTAGTAGTAGCAGTACCAGTACCAGTACTAGTACTAGCACTAGTACTTGTACCAGTCTTCTGCAGCTGCTGCTGGTCCAAGACGGTCCTATTGTCCATATTATGAGCTCATATATCTTGCTTGCCGCCCCAAAACTAATTTCACCCCAAGCCCTCGAACTAAAACCCGATAGCCTTAGAAACAAAACTCTCAACACCTCGGACTGCCTGAATCCAAAGCCCAAGGACTCTTAAATCCTGGGGTTTCCCAGACCCTACCCAGCAAAGAAGCCCAAAGCTCTCAATTTAGGCCCTGAGCCCCCGACTCTCAACCCGAAACCTTCTGTGGGCCCCTCATCGATACGGATTGCCATAGTCATGGGGATCCCAAAACTAAGACCTTGAAAGAAAGGGGGGTTTACTAAACTCTGGTCTACAATCATAAACTAAATGCTGTCCCGCGGCCGTCTTTGTCGAGGATGCGGATTTGCAGCGAGTCGTAGACGGGGCCCACGAGGCTGTGAGCCTGTGCGATGAACTCGATTCCTGGGCGGTCGCTGAGGTTCTGAGGTTCTACGGTTTTACGTTTTCGCACGGTTTTCAGCAAGTCTGAGGGATGCGATGCGGGGTTTACAAGGTGTTGTGTGCTTGATCGCGCCCGAAGGCTTTTGCACGCTTAGAAACTAGTGCTTAGGATTCAAGCTGCCTTTCTGGCCAACATTCTGTGATCCTTCATGTCTTACGGGTGTGAGAGGCTCAGCTCAGCTTGGGTTTGAGATGTACATCCGGGCTTAGACTGGGGCCCCGCAGTGCTTATTGTACTATAACTCACTATTCTTCAGGAACCCCAAGGTTCGAAGAGTATGATTTGCCAATCTTGAGGTTCAATCATACCTAAACCCGAAACCTAGGGTTTAGGGTTTAGGGTCCTACATTACCCATAATAGGGAATATATCATAATTCCCATACTAAACCCCATGGGTTTGAGGTCTGCTGCGATTAGGATGCAGGGTGCGGACCTCCTCGTCCGCGAAAAAAGGAGCCCAAATCGTTTCAAAGCCCAACAGACCCCCATGTCACGAACGCATGGCCATAGCCGTAGACTCAAGACTTCTATGGGCATGGAGCCCTCAACTGGCGATTTACTGCCTTTCAAGCGGCGCTTGCTGGCATCTTTGCCGCAGACTTCCTCAAGCTTCTCGGAAGTCGTCCTGGAAAGGGGGTGGGTGCAGGGAACACTCGGAACACGAATTCGAGTTCAGGGTTAAATCCTAAACTTGGAAGTTGATGATGCTCTTGACTCAGGCCAAAAGGCCCAAACCCCAACGCTCATCCGACATTTGCCCAAGCCCGAAGATCACAGCAAAGCCCGCATTCGCTTTGTTGGTTTCTGGTAACCTAAACTCGAAATTACTATAGACCCTAAACTATGGCATCCCAGACCCCTCCAGACCTCACGAGGTAATAGTACATCTCGTTGTGCTGGTCGATTCGGTCGTTCCTGGGCCCCGCAGAGTTCGGGTTTTAGGATGGATATACCTAAACCCTAAACCCTAAACCCTAAACCTACAGTTCCGGCCTAAGCGGGTTGCTTAGGGCTTTTTTCGGGACACACCTGAACCGTCTGGAGGTCCAGCACCAGAACCTAAAACCCTAACCCCTAAACCCTGAACTTAAACACTAAGCTGCCCAAGCCTGCACTCCTTCTGGTTTAGCGCCCTCTAACCCGGAATCGAAATCCATTCTTACGTTAAGTCATCTACCTCAAACCCTGAATTAGGCGTCCCCCGCCCATACTTCAAGGCGTACCCCTTCTAACCTCATGTAAAAAAAAACCCTCCAAGAAAACCATAAGGAACCCTGATTTTAGAAAACCATAAAGGAACCCTGACTGTTAGAGGTCTTGGAGGCTCTGTGCAGATCCCGGAAACTGTGGACTGTCGTAGCCCTGAAGGCACATATCCTCATCTTCTCACTTCTTGGGCTCTTGGCCTTGGATGACAACCCGAAAACCCCAACACTTCAAACCTTGCTACGTGGATTGAGTAGGGTTTAGGGCCAGTTTAGGGTTTAGGATTTAGGGTTTAGGAGTATATAAACACCACAAAACGCTGACGTTACATTTCTTCCGCTGCAACAGGGTACAGAGGCGATGGCAGTAGGCAATCCGAGCCAGATATTAATAAATTGAAGTCTGGGGACGTCCATCCCGAAAAACGCCGACGGCACAACTGAACCTGGAATCCTCGACTAAACCCTGAATCCTGAGCTTGGTTTCAGGCATCCAAATCAAACCAAAGCCCTTGCAAAACCCTTACGAAGAACCTGAAAACCGGAAGCTTAAGCCCAAACCTCTGCACCCCAAATACTCTTCGTTGCTCCAGATCCCCGTAGTCGTCCCGAAATACTGATGCCATATCATAGCGCAAAGGCCTATTCTGATAGTTAACGGCCCGTTTCTGAACCTCTGCAAAACCCAATAGAACCCCCGAGGGCCCCTTATGGATCCGTTATTAATGCCCTTTTAGGGTTTAGGGTTTGGGGTTTAGGGTTTAGGGTTTAGGGTTAAAAACCCTAAGAGAAACCCTGTCGAACCCAATGGAACGCTATGGAACCAGGCATCATCACAGCCAGCTGGGGGTGCATCAAGGCCCCCTGGATGTTGGTCATGCGAACGGACTTGTTTACAGTGGTGTACCTCAGCAGGCTCAAAAGGGCTTAGGGGTTTCGGGTGGTTTCGGGTGGTTTAGTGTGGTTTAGGGTGGTTTAGTGTGGTTGAGGGTGGTTTAGTGTGGTTTAGGGTGGTATAGTGTGGTTTAGGGTGGTTTAGTGTGGTTTAGGGTGGTTTAGGGTGGATTAGGGTTTAGGGTTTAGGGCTTGCAGTAGGGTTGAAGGTAGGTTTCAGGATTTTGCTCAACTTCCCTGTTTTTTCGGAAGGCAATCCAACAACATCAACTATTGCCAGGTCTTAGGGTCGTACCAACCGCATGTCCCGCCGGTCGGGCCCCAAACGTACAGGGAGCTAGGATCACATTAGCACAAAAAGCCAACAACCACTCCTAAACCCCTGAACATCAAACCCTGAACCCACCCCAAACAACTCCAATACCGAAACCCTGTGGCCCGCAACAGCACCTCTAAACTCCATCAATCTGCACCCGAAGCCAGATTCAATCCATGGGGCTTGTATTTGAGGCAGACCTCTTCCGGTGGCGACATGGCCTCGTGCTTTCTCCAAAGCTCTTCATAGCCTCAGAATGGAAGTAGTGCTTTTTGTTGGTATAGGGGTTTAAGGTTTGAGGCTGCAGGAGTCATAGAACCGATTGGCTTCTTTCTTTCAAGAAATTGTATGCGGGTTTCGGTCGGTCTCGCTGTGGGAAATAAGGCGCAGCAGACTGAGACTGTATGGTTTACGTAGGACTGTAACCCTCAACCCAAAAGCCTTCAGACTCCAGACTCTCGTGCCATTGGGGTAGTCTAGGGCCTTATAATAATTAGAATAGGGTTTTTTGGGGGGTTCTTTATTGCAGTTATAGTACAATGGATCCCCAAACCCTATTCTAATTATAAAGGCCCCTATATTAGTGACTTCAGTCAAACCCTTGTCTGGAACAGCCTGTACCAGCATAAACAACATGTACAGCCCGGACATGCCAAGAAAAACGTTCCAGCTGTCGACCTCGCAGGCATCCAACCAACATAGCCTTGTAGGTGTCCACGATGAATTAAAAAACCGGCCGCAGCACAGCAAAAGCAACAAGTCTGCAGACACCCATCCACCAGCAAGCTTTACGCCATGCATCCTGTACGGATACGGGGGCCGCGAAAGTAGCACATAACCCTGAACCCGAAAACCAAGCCAGGTCCTCAAAACAGGACCCGAAGTTTTCGGGTGGCTGGAATCCCAATTAGCTTTCATGAGTGGATATATAATTAGAACAAATCAGAAATGGGCCTTGGAGAGTTCGGTCTGTAACGGCTAGCCTGAATAGATAGAACAGGGTTGAAAGTATAATGGTGCGGAAACTACAATGGGATTTTGTTGCGAAGTCTTCAGGGCTCTATCCCGGGTGTAGGATGCACGATTGGGACAACTGAAAGTTCTCCTGGGGACAGAACTTGAGATTGAGCGTGTGGGTTAGGGATCAGGGTTTAGGGCATGGGGTTCAGGGTTCACGGCTGCTTCTCACCAAGGGGCTTCCCGCTGAAAAGATGAAGAAGGCTTGGATTTCATCGTTGTTTGTAAACACCATGCCTGCCAAGTCATCAAGGCTTGGTTCCAGAGACTAGGGTTCAGGGCCTCCTCAACAGCAGGTTCGTTGAATGCGGGTGAGATTCTTCATGTTGCTTTCTCTGATCACCACATTTGGGATCTACTTGGCCCATTATACTACAATTCTTTTAGGAGCCCCCCAAGATAGTATGGATAATTATTTATGCCCGTACATTGCCTGGCCCATAAACCTACCGATTCTCATCATCCCACCATCCTGAAACCCTTAACGCTGGGGGCGGTGGCTTCGGAGCCTTGCTTCGGTTGAGGGCTTAGGGCGTCTTAGTCTTTGGCGGTTTAGAGCTTTAGGGCTTTAGGGTTGCAGGGTTAGGCAGGGTGCAGGGCTTTGCAACTTTAGGATTTACCTGTAGCCGAAGAAACCTACCTGTTTAGGGTTCCTTATTATGGTTTCTATATATAAGTCCTTTAAAAAGGTAGGTCTTTTGGGCTACAGGTAGGGCTTAGGGTTTGAGGTCTTAGTGCGACTCACAACCCAAGGTTTCCCGCCAGCATTCCCTTCGTATATTCATAACAGCGATACGCTTCCTCCTGTTCTTCAGCTTTACAATGCTTTGCAGAAATGAAACACCAAGGCAAAGAACTGGAAACAGATGTACTCCGGAGATACCCACAGCCCCTTCAGAGAATCCTGCAAACGCGCATTGTCGAAACCTTTCAACCCACCAGAAACAATTGTAATTACACCCAAACTCTCGAAGTGATAGCCTCCCTCTCCGGTATTCACCAGCTTGTTCGCCTGCACAAGGACAATGAGACAATGCAGCCACAAAGACTGCAAAAGCCCTCCGTCGATTGCAGCAACAAATATGGTCTCACGAGTCTGAAGGTTGGCTTCATAACGCTCTGTCATTTTCCCGTTGTGGTACCCTAAAAAAATCCGAGTCTGGGGGTTGTCTTGCTTTTGGGGCAGGACTTCGGAGCTTTTGGCTTTAGGTCTTGGAGGCTTTCAGGCGGAACTGTCGAAACTATGGGATACTCGCCATGTGCGTTGGAGTAGAACCTGCTTGGACAAATGGAAAACACGGGCACACCTTCGTCCTGTAATCTTGAGGTCTCCGCATTCAGAAGACAGATACACCCATACACAATTACCTATACATGTACATATACATGTTATGTACCCATACAGACATACATATGCATATACATATACAT